AGACATACAGATGACAAGCAAACATACAAAAAGACACTCCACATCATGTGCCATGAGGGAAGTGCAAATTAAAACAACAATGTGAGATACCACTACCCGCCTATTACTATGGCCCAAATCCAGACACCAACAACACCAAACGCTGGCGAGGACGTGGAGCAACAGAGACTCTCACTCACTGCTGGTGGGGATGCAGCGTGGTGCAGCCACTTTGGAAGACAGTTTGGTGGTTTCTTACAAAACTAAACATATTCTTACCATACAATCCAGCCATCGCACTCCTTAGTATTCACCTAAAGGAGCTGAACACTTATGTCCACACACAAACTTGCACGCAGATGTTTACAGCAGCTTTATTCATAATTGCCAAAACTTGGAAGCAACCAAGATGTCCTTCAGTAGATGAATGGATAAATAAATTGTGGTACATTCAGAAAATGGAATATTATTCAGCACTAAAAAGAAATGAGCTATCAGGCTATAAGAAGATACAGAGGAATCTTAAATGCATATTACTAAGTGGAAGAAGTCAATCCAAAAAGGCTATACACTGTAGGATTCCAACTATATGACATTCTGGGAAAGGCAAAACTATGGAGACAGTGCAAAGATCAGTGGTTGCCAGGGGTTAAGGGGGAGGGAGAGATGAAGAGCTATAACACAGAGGATTTTTAGGGCAATGAAACAATTCTGTACAACACTATAATGGTAGATACACAACATTACACATTTGCCCAAACTCACACCACTAAGAGTGAACTCTAAGGTAAACTATGGGCTTTGGGTGGTAACGATATTCAGCATAGGTTCATCAATTGTAACAAACGTACCAGTCTGGTCGGGATGTTGAAAATGCGGGAGGCTGTATGGGGGGGTGGGGGGGGCCTGTGCCAGGTGGTATATGGGAAATCTCTGTACTTTCCTCTCAATTTTGCTGTGAACCTAAAACTACTCTAAAAATAGTTTATTAAGTAAAAAAAAGAGAGATAAGACTGGTAAAATCCAAATAAGGTCTGTAGTTTGGTTAATAGCAGTGTACCAAAGTCAATTTCCTAGTTTTGATAACATACTATGGTTAAAGAAGATGTTATCGTGGGGGGACAGTGGGTGATAAGTACACAGGAACCTTGCAAGACTTTTTGTAAGTGTAAAATTATTTCAAAATAAAAATTAAAAAAAATAAAATAAAGCCACTTTTTATTAATGTAAAAGAAGACTGTCACTGAATCAACCAGCCCTATAACTGAGAACATGTCTATGAACAGAGTGATGGGTCCATATGAGCCTCACAGACAGAACTCCACAAGGCGATCCCGCCTATTGGTCACACCGCCTGACAGAACAGTGAGTGGGCCTGTTTATTTGTAAGAAAACAAAGAGGTGAACAGCCAGACTGAGGGAAGAAGCCTCTTTGTGTTGAGAGGCTCCTGGCTTAGCAGCAGTTCCTCTTGCCCGAGCACCTTCTCGGGCACTTCTTTGAGACCGACAGTGCCAGTTCCACCCCAGGGAAGGCACTGTAATTACAGCTGCAAGAAGCGCACATGACACCTTCACTTTGTGTGAATTCTTGCTGGTTTGATGGGCTTCACCCAGTGTTTTACAGTCCCTTAGATTGGAAGGATGACACAAAAATGCTTTTGGCGTGAAGATGTTCATTGTAGGGTTACTCATAACAGCAAAAACTGGGAATGACCAAATGAGGGGACTGGTTAACTAAACTATGACACTCATCCCTAAGCAGCCACTAAGAGTAGCTCATAAATATATTTTCATGAAATGAGAAAATGCCTATGAAATGATGATGAATAAAAAAGGCCATACTTGTAATGCCTACAGCATGTAGGCTCTCCAGCCCTGCCTTAGACTGGGAGGATACTCTAACTCAGAAGTGAAGTATTCTTAGTAAACCATATGGCCAATCATCGAACCACATTCTCTAACAGAGCTTTATCAGCAGTAAAGATGACGTTTTAATAGCCATCAAAAAATGCTCATTTACAGTATGACCTCAGTCATGTCTTAAAAAACAATATATCCAAAAATTCTATAAGGAAAGGGACCAAAAAGGAATTTCCAAATCTTATTTAGTGAAGACATATTAATTTTATTTTTAAAATAAATATATAAATAAAAACATGTAATTTAAAAAGGCAATGCAGGCATTTGCCCTTATTGCAGTGTTAAGTGACACAAATTATATGTTGTAAATCATAGATCTAGATCTAGAAAAGCAAATTGGTTTCATCTTGTAAGCCAACTGCAACAGATTAGTGTGTCTGCCCAAAGATTCTGAGGCCTCATCTAGGATTAGTGAAACAGAGAGGCTCGATTTCTTAATAATGTTTGCCGCCGGTATAAAAAGGGAGTGTGAGAGCAGGTATACCATGTATTTTCTGATTTTGATGAAAATTTTCTACCACAGAGCAGATGTGAAAGGAAGAAAAAAGAGCGCAGGCAGTACGCAGAATAATGCCCCCCACACGCGGAAGATGTCCATGTCCTAATCCCCTGGAACCCTACATGGCAAAAAGGAACTAAGACTACAAGTGGAATTAAGGTTGCCAATCATATGCTCTTAAGATAAGGACAGTACCCTGAGTTATTCAGGTGGGCTCACTGTAATCACAAGCCTCCTTACATGTGGAAGAGGGAGGCAGAAGAGAGTGAGAGAAGGAGATATGATGAAGGATGCTGTATTGCTGGCTTTGAAGATGGAGGAAGGGGCCACGAGCCAAGGAACGCGGTTGGTCTCTAGAAGCCAGAAAATGTGAGGAAATGGATTTTCTCCTAGAGCCTCCAGAAACAACACAGCCCTGCCATCACCTTGACTTTAGTTCAGTGTGACCGTGTTGGAATTCTGAACTACAGAACTATAAGATAATAAACCTGTGTTGTTTTAAACTACTGAGTTGGGGGTAATTTGTTGTGGCAGTAATAGAAAATTAATACAGGGGAGGGCAGAGAGGAAAGAGAAAGAGTATTTACTACTTAGGATGAGGGTGGTTGGCAGGAATCCATTTCATTTTGCCATGTCAGTCCCAGTTAACTGAGAAACACTACTTAAACTAACTTATACTAGAAGGGTACCCTAAGCTGTGGGAACAGAGAAGCCAAGGTTTGACTTGGCGGTTCTCACTCAGCCCTGAATCACTTCCCAGCAGAGGTAACGCTCAGTAGGCAGGACGCCTAAATCCACAGGGAGCCCACGGGAAACCGGCCATGACCCAAGGTCCAGCTTAGCTCAGCAGCTCCCGATGTCCAGCGGTGGACAGCAACTGTGTGACCACAGGAAAAAGCTGGGATCTGCATGTGAGACTGACACCTTAAATAGACCCAACCCAAATCCATTTCCTCTGCACATAAACCAAAAACTCCACAAATCTTAGAAAGAAAACAATGAGGATCACAGAGCAGACAGACTGTTCAGCTGTGTCTGGTTAGGAAAGGAAAGTGTTCCACACTGAAAACCAAGGAATAAATGAAAATAATTAACCTCACTGGGTCTAAGTTTCTCATCTATAAAGTGAGAGTTGCCTTAGCTCTCTGTCCTCTAGTCCTTTAACTGCATTAGTGTAAGAAAATCTAGCATCCCCCAAAGAAACTCATCTATGAGCTGTGAAATGTGAAATAAAGCTCTTAATTTTAATTATGTACAAAATATGCATAACAATGAAGAACCTCCGCGGCTGCAACACTCCCACCAGGCGACACGTGGGTCTCACCTAAGAAACACAGGTTCAATGCAGACATTAAAGCAGCTACAGGTACAACATCCTCAGTTTTCCCAATTTCCCTCTTTCTGCCCGCAACGAGTAACTGAGAAGACATAGCGAGACACGTTCGGGCGAAACGTTCGGGCCAAGGACTCACAGACGAGGGCCAAGTCCCCGCTCCCTCACTCCCTGGATATTGAAAGCACATCTGCCCTGAACCGCTCTGAGCCACTTGGTTTCTTCCCTACAAGAGGAGAGATCAGGAGAACTCATCTCTCACAAGGCTGTTCTGACCATCAGATGAACTTGTCAATGGGGAGGGTCCTTGCCACCACAGAAGTGGTGACAGCACACACTGGTCAATATTACAACAGTGACTGAAATCCATGGATGTGGTCGTGGCAGAAAGACTAAGAGGTGATCAGTCAACTTCAAGTTCAGGTTCTTCACTTGTCAAACAGGGACAAGAACATCTGCTGTGGGGAGATCTGAGGTGAGGGGTATGAGGCTCCTGGCACAGTGTGGGCATACAGTAGATGCTCAATAAACGCAACCTCTGAGTGTGGTGACCAATGGTCCCTTCCACATCCCACCATTTTCTGGGAGTTAGCAGTGGACACAACTTCAGCAAACATTTTAGAACACAATGTTTCCCGCTTCCATGAGTATATGCCAGCATCATCAACTCTAAGGGTCAAGTTGCCAAGTGCCAAGCAGAATTCTTTATTAAACAAATTCACTGGACCACGGTTGTTGTTTTCAGTAATTGCCCCATAAGCAGTGGCCAAGCGGATACGACCACCTACACCACAGAAACATCAGTTAGAGGTATTAAAAGAATACGGAGAGCCACCATCTCCCAAGTACCTGTTAGATGCTGGGCACTGCTGTGGGCACTCTGACCACCATCTCCAGCTCTTACACCAGCCTGCCAGATGGCTCATCACACCTGTTCTATCAGGTGATTTACCCGAGGAATCCAAGATCTGAAAGCACACATACTGTTCCGAAAGCCCGCACTCTTTCCTCTAAATCACTGCAGGTTTTTATGGTAAGAGTGTGCCTTTCTCTAGCCTGCATGCTCTTACACACTGTTTCTGGACTTGGTTCCCAAAGTACAGAGAAACGCTACACTTCTAGAAGGAGAGAGCATGGAGTAAACTGATGCCTAAGGGGCCCAAAGTGAAGGGAATACCAAAAATAATGCAAGGATGCTCTCTCCATCTTCATTTGAAAAGTGATGGCTTTCCAGCTCGAACACCCGCCCCACCTCCCGAGCCCTCTTACCTTGAAGGAGGCGTGCTGCTCCATGTGCCGCAGCAGCTGTGGCTTCTGGGCCGCCGTGTAGTCACATACCGTGCACTTAAACTGCTTCCCTGGAAAGAAGGGAGGACAAGGTCAGCATCGTCAGGCTAACAGCTCCCACGTGTGAATGAATTGCCAGGCCCAGAGCCAGATACACCAAGATGCCCCTTGCCATCCAGGTGTCCAGATTCTCAGAGGCGAACCAGCAAGTAAGTGCACAGACTCGAGGGAGCCTGCTCAGTCTACCACAGGTGGGAACGGAAGGGAGCTCGCCATGGTGGGAGAGGAACAGCCAGCTCCTCAGGGGCAGGGGTGGGGATGCCATGAGCAATGACAAGTGGGCAGGCTCCTAAAGAAAGAGAAAGGGTGTGTCCAGCTGACTAGTGGAAAGAAGCATAGAAGGAGAGGGGTGCACATGGGTGACAGCACAGAGGTATGGACCCCGGGGTGGTCAGGAAAGTGGAGCAGCTGGATCTTCCTTCCGGCACCTAAAGTGAGGTCTGGTGAGAGTCAAGAGCTGACCCTGGAGAGGCTGTGGGGCCAGTACATCAAGGCCTGCAGCATCTCACTGGGAGCCTGGGCGTTATCTTGAGAGCCAGGAGAATCTGCAGAATGCCATTCGGCCAGGGAGTGTTTTCGAACTCCCAACTCCGGCAGGAGTGTACAAGGCAGATTGGAGGGGATGCTAGAAAGAAAACTACAGAGAAATGCAAAATCTTGCTCTTTTTAGAGGATTAATGTTTCACCAATATGTAAACATTCAATAACGGATGAACAGGCACACATGTTAAAACACATTATGGACATACAGGGCACACTACATTTTTTACCCCCCGATAAGCATAAGTAAAACCTCAACTTGTAATAATGCAAACATGTGCAACAAAATATAAATATGACCTACTTCTCATAGCAGCAAATGGTTCCCCAAGCAGCTTCTAATGGTACAAGCCTCCTCCGGGAACCACGACCACAGCCACTGCACGTGGCATCACAGGAACGCGGGCTCCTTCTGGGGACCTCTCACAACATTCCTTCCCAGACAAGCTGGGTGAAAAGGTTGTCTATCTCTGCAGCCTCCACACTCCCTTCCTATGCACTCTTGAGCCCAACAAAAACTGGCTGATGGCACCAGCTCACCCTAAAACCTGTCCTCACCAAGGTGAACTCCATGACGCCAGGCCAGCGGCAGATTCCAGTCCTCATTTTACTGGACTTGACTGCCCATGGCTCTGCTAACAGGCCGTGCTCTGGAAATCCTCTGCTCCTCTGAATCCACCACACTCCTGCCTCCCTGGGCTCTCTGACTCTTTGTTCTGAGTATCCTCAAGGCATTCTCTCCCATCTACATCTTTTATACACTGATGTTGCACAATATTTCACCCCACACTCCTATTCTTCTCCTTCCACAAGCATCCTTGCCCATAGCTGTCCCCGGGGGCTTTTGTAAATGTTGATGCCAAAATCCACATCTTCTACTCTTATTTTGTTACATTCTTCTACATCTTCTACCCTTCTTTGAAGCTGAGATTTGAGTATCCAACTGTCTGCTGGACTGCTGCTTAGCTGTCCCACACTTTCTTAATTGGGCTCATTATTCTACCCATCAAATGGGTTCCACCTCCAGCCTTTCCACTTTATCACCCACCTGATTACCCAAGTCAGAGACCTGGCAGCCTTCCTCAACATCTCCATGACTCTAACCTCATTCATCTCATTTTTTCAGCATCTGATTTCATCTCCTAAATAGTTCTCTGTTTCTAATACCTCCACCCTGGTTTCGACCATCCTCACTTCTTTCTTGCACAACAAAAGCCTGTGAACTGGTTTCCTTGCCTTCAGGTAACCCTCCCATCCATCATTGATCCATTAATTATCCATTCATCTATCATCCATCTACCATCAATCACTAATCCAACTATCATCCATCCATTCTCTATACGTACATACATCCTGATGCCCCATCCTCCATCCAGATGATCTAACACATAAACTCTCCCACGGCTCTTCTTGCATAACCCACCGATGACTCCAACTACAGAACAAAGCTAAACTTCCAGAGTACAGCACAGAAGGCCCTCCAGAACCAGAACTAACTCTCCCTGCATGATTCCTCTCTCTGACTTCCTGTTTTGCCTTCCCCTCTGTACGTTAGGCTCTGTGACACAGAACTCCTTGAGTTCTCAGAACATTCTGCCTTGCCTTTGCAGTCTCAGAACCCCGAGTCTTTGCTAACATGCACTATGCTTGAGATGCACTGCCTCTCAGCATCTGGCCATTCTTCACTTTAACTCAAAACTCAAGGTGAACAACATCTCTGGTACTGGGGCTCAGAGCCAGCCCCTCTGCACGCCCCCACACACTCTCCACATACTTCTCTCCATGCCCTGACTCTGCAGCACTGTCATCACCTGTTCACAAGCCTGGGGCTGCCACTGACTGCCCACAGGCAGGGACCATGTCTTACTCGTCTTGGCATCCCCAGTGCCTGAGGGCATGGCACATACTGAACGTATTCCGTGCATTTTACTGAACTGAACTCGGCAAGAAACAAAACGGAAATTTTACACATCTTACACGAATAACACTTTCAATAGGAGCAGCAAAAGGGAAACAACAGTATCAACATATTCATACTATAATTGCACCTGTCATTCTAGGTGAAGGAGCACCAATTCTAGATTCTATTAATTCTGGCAGTCCAAAGCATGAGGAAAACTTTTCTTTCCCATGAAAGGCAGACAAGTCATAATTAGAGAGCAATTAACACTTTTTCTTAAATACAGCATCATCTTTTTTCCAACATAAGGCCACACATTTCTACACATCTTCCACATAATCTTGGCCACCCACACTTCTCCAGTGATTTGTGGCTCATATAAATACATTATTACTGTGTCAGGCAGCCTGAGCAAAATGGTGTGGGTTCTTCACCGCCATAGTGGAGGGAGGAAAGTGGATATAACCATTATCCAAGTTGATAAATATTTTGTCACTCATTATCAATACACTTGGATCAAAGAGTAAAAGATTAAGTGCTAAGACGGAGTCCTGAAATGAATAAATGGAGTCGCCTTGTTTGAGACAAAGAGCCAGCCTTTTATGGATATACTCCCGAGGCTCTGCAAGAGACAAGGAAAGAGGCAGCTCCTCAAAGCCATCCCTCACCGAGGCATCAGAGCTCTAGCAATAAATATTACAAATGTTTTCAACGACCACTGACAGCCCCTACCAAACAGGCCTGGGAGAGGACTGGACATAATCTTTTGCTGCCTAATTAAAATAATGCAATGCAGATTCATGACTAATCATAAAAGTGCAATGCTTTGAGACTATCAGATTGTTTTCTATCAAGATTCTCCTAAGAATTACTGCGAGAGCCGACTGGAAAACCTAATCTTTACTCGAGTTTAGAGTGACTTCAAAGGGCTGGCAGATGAACATCAATGGCTATATGTGGATGCGGATCACACAGCATCCCAGGAAAAGAAAAGAACAATTACAGAGGAAAAAAGAGGTTGATTTGTTTTTACAACTTAATTCATTTTTCACACAACATACCTGCCTGGCTCTACCTTCTGAGCTACCGGCCATCAGCAGCTGTGCTGTGACTTGATGTGTACCATCTCACCCATGCACCCCAAAGCCCGGGGAGCAGGCAGTGTCACCCCTTTTACAGATGAGGAACCAAGATCAAGAATCTGAGCAACCTGTCACGTCATGGAGAGAGAGAGAGAGAGACAGGGCTGCTCAGACACAGGACTGGCAAGCACCTGAAAAGCAGCCCCCTGAGACAAGAGGCTGACGGTACACATGGGCAACCCAGCAGTGGACCCTTCTCCACCGCAGCCACTCGGGAGAGCTGAGGCAGGACCCCACAAGTCCCATTGCTTTGACCTCCCTGATACTCTCTGGGACCATCCAAGGACAGGTCTAATGAAGCCAGCCTAAGATAACACACCTGAAAACAGAAAGAATAAAGACAGAGCAGAGGAAAGTGCTTGTAAAATTCTGGTAAAGTGTAAGCAGTTATAATATGTATTCAAAGAGTTTATAGAAGCCTTCTCTCATCCTGCCCCCAGCAACCTCTCTCACCTTGTCTCCACCCAGAGGAATGCTTGAACACCTTACAACGGCTGCAGGATCCTCTGAGCTCATGCACTACCCTCCCCAACCCCATCCATGCACACAGTAGGCCCACTCCACCCCCAGGCCTTTGTACTTGCTGTCCCCATGGCCTAGGGTGCCCTGCCCAGATGCCCCCAGGCTCTGCTGGCTCATTCCCCTCAAGTCTTCATTTGAATGTCATCTTCTCACTGAATCCTTGAAGACTGTCCTATTTAAAATTACAGTCCCCATCCCCTTTACTGATTCACTTTTATCATTCCTCATCTTGTAACATTTTCATATTGAAACGGAATCATTTCACATTCATATTTTAATTTTCATACCTCAACTTTCTCAATATTTAAGATATTTTCATATCTCCATTGTAAGAGACCATATATTTTATTGGTTTATTCTGTTTATCGTTTAGCTTCATGACAGTGGGTTTTGCTTTCATTGCTGTTTGTATTGTCCACTGCTGTGTCCAAAGTGCCTAATCACCCAAGTGGCTCATTAATTCATCTTTGGTTGGTCCATCTGGCACCCTCGCTGGGCTGCAGGTACTCTGGGCACAGGGACAGTACACTTCTCACTCCACGTCCTTGTGCTCAGCAGTGAGCGCGTGCTGGCTGTAAGGCTAGCAGTAAGTTACAGGAGCGTCCCAAGGGAATGTCTGCTCAGCCACACTCGCTCTCCCTCCCATAATCACCAAGATCACACAGGGCACCCTTAGAGCTTGCGATGTGGCCCTGCCCATCATCTCCCACCCCCAGCCTCAGGTGACTAGACCGTGGTGGACAACTGACCCAAGGCGAGTCAGGGATTTGAATTGTCTGGATCCGAAGCATGGAACTCAGGAGCTGTTGGTAATTATATTTTCACCCTGTGGATTAAATAAGTAAACAAGCCAATCTGCAGGGGGTAGAGCAGCAAAGAGAGACAGAGAGAGGACAACAGAACGAAG